CAAAATTATTTCAATTATTTAAATAATTCAAATCGGTGGGAATCGTGGTCCAGCCACGCAACCCACCGATTTCAATTCACAGATTTGTTTTTGAATTCACAAAGTGGCTTTGCGAATTGAAATAATTTTGTTTTTTGAAATCCTGGGGTTCGGTGAGCCGAACCCACCGAACTACGGGATTTAAATAATTTAAATAATTGAAATAATTGAAATAATTCAATCGGGGCGGATTTCAAAAAACAAAATTATTTCAATTCACAAGGTGGCCTTGCGGATTGAAATAAGTGAAATAATTTAAATGGGCCGGGTTTGAATTATGTCAAAAAACAAAATCATTTCAATTATATAAATAATTCAAATCGGTGGGACTCGTGGCTCGGATAAAACAAACATCAGATTTTAATTAACAAACCTGTTTTTGAATTCACAAGTGGCCTTGTGAATTGAAAAAAGAAATCTGTGAATTGAAATCGGCCCTGCGGATTTAAATTATTTCAATTATATATTTCAATTATTTCAATTCTTTTCAGTCATATAGGCAAGAATAAGGCAAGCAACCAGGAAGTCAGGAAGCAGTATTGCCGGCAGCACTCTCACTAAGCGTTCGGCAGGCATTGGATCCAACCAGTGGCCTCTCCTTGCCGGACTCTCCAAGTCAAGGACCCCTTTCACTTCTTAATGCGACGAAACCCGAAACCCTAAGCCCCTAAACCCTACGCCCCTAAACCCTAAACCCTAAGCCCCACTTGTGCCCCTTGCAAGCAGGACTGGAGGAGATGGAAGGCTTCGTGAAGCAAGCTCAATCCAAGTCGGGCACTCACTGTGTGTTGTCTTCATGGTTTTCGTGTTGATCGTCCCTCCATGCTCCCCAACTTCAGGCCGAGTCAGAAAGTTGGGCAAGAGCCGTGGACAGCTGTGGGCACGGTCCTGGATCGAAACTTGTCCATCCTTTGTCGGGAGGAGCCGCTTGTCAGAAAGCCTCGGAACGACACCGTTTGGTACCCTTGTGAAAGGCAGCTGCGTTGAAGTTGTTATCAGGCTGCTGCTGGTATATCTAGCATTACGATCATATGTGCGACTTTTGCAGTCATTGCGGCAATGATGGTTTACTCGCAACAGACTTACAAACGGTTTTGTTCCTGCTCTGACTATCATTGTCAGATCACCGACGGTTATGATTTGAAAATGCTGCTGCTGCCTTATCTACAATGCCGCAAAGCAAGACAAGTACAACGTTGCATAAAATTCAGAGAAATACACGTGTGCACAGACAGACGCATATATATATGTAGATGCATACATACATAAAGGCATACATGCATACATACATACATCGAAACATACAGACATACATACATACATACATACATACATACATACATACATACATACATACATACATACATACATACATACACACATATATATATATACATGTACATGCATCTATATATATATATATGTAAGTATATTTGTATATGTTCACGATCTGTATGATATGCATGCATGCATGCATGTATG